CAGTAAGAGGTTTTTATTTAATAGAATTTTTGGAGAAAAGAAATCACAATATATTGCCTTGCTTACAGTATTGCAATATATCGGGGTATATCGTATCGTGACCCCTCTGTTATGATATGTATCGTATCGCCAAATTCTTGCCAATACACAGCCCTAATGAAAACTCACCAAACTTCAACAAAAACGTCGCCCCTGGCGAAAATTGCATGCTTCCATTGGACTTCTTTATCGGCGTGGCCAAATGACTCCACAGCGCCCCCCAATGTGAGATACAGGAACTGGTAAGTCCTACAGAGCTGAAATTCGAGACATAGGTAGATTTAGCCAAATCAAGAAAAAAAGTCTCTTGGAAGTATGCTCTAAAACCAACAGGAAGTCRGCCATTTTGGGTCAAAGGTCAAATTTTGGCCRATTTGCAATTTCGCTCACCTCGAACTTYTGCAAACTCGTCCTAGGGATTTCGACCYATCGGCTTCAAACTAAGTCAGTGTGCTGTTAAGACATGGGGGATTTAAAGTTATCAAAACGGTGAATTTGACTCAACAGCGCCACCTACAATAGATGAACAATTATAGATCACTAATACATCTTCCTATCTGCACCAAATTTTGTGTGTGTCATCAGTGACCACCTCTGCTGAGCCCTATAGGTTTACATTGGAGTTTGACTCAACAGCGCCACCTACAATAGAGAAAAACTTATAGCTCACTTACACATCATCGAATCTGCACCAAATTCGGTGCGTTTCATCAGGGACCACTGCTTGTGACACCGACATGACTAAAGACGCAATATGCCATGTCGGCCATTTTGAATTTCAGTTTTGAGGTTTTTTTTTTCAGCCCTCCTACGGCCTTTTTACAGGGTATTTGTTTGGAAAGTTGGGGGTTCTGGAAATGCAACATTGGGGTTATGCCAGTTCTCCTGTAGTCGCCACATGGCCAGAGCGGCGCTGAAGCTGCGAGGGCCGCCCAACGCTGCTTGCAGCTTTAATTGGTGTTATAACTGAGCTCAGGTGTGTAACAGGAAAACAGGGAAATCACGGGGAAATGGTTAGTCAGAGGGTGTTTAACTCTGGTCCACTTCAGTATAAACACAAGACTGGGATTTAAAGAGCTCCTTCTCTTCCCCTCCAGGGAAATTCACCTCTTAATAAAATAACACCAGCATGTTTTCTCAGCTGTATTCTCTGATAAACATTAAAAAGATATTTCGCTCACTTTGATGTTTAGTCAGGTTATCTTACCTGTAATATATCTAGATGGCCTCAATTTGCAGAAATACAGTTTTAAATCCGTATTTTCATGCATTTTGTGATTTTTTTTGGTGGGGGGGGGGTGTCAATATTTTACACACGGTAATCTAATAAACTGATGTAATGCTCACACTCACCACTAGGTGGCGAGAACGTTCACGTTAACATTAAAAAACAGAAAAATATACAGTACTTTGCTTACAGCCATCAAAAAAAGGGTTTTATTTCAATTTTTTATTGATACTTGGATCAATTATAATAAAAACAATCCATCATTCACTACAAAATGTATACCACAAAATGTAATATATTAACCATGAGTCTTGTTTTGTTGCCAACAATTATGAGTAGTTTGTTTACGCTCTTTAATTGCCTCAATTTAACACAACTCTACAAAAAAAAAAAAACAAACAAAACGAAGGGTTTTATAATAACCCCTAATAATCATTTAACAATGTAGAAATGTTGTGAGAAGTATAAAATTTTAAATCATCATTGCGAAATAGCGTATTTTGACAACTGTTATGTCTTTTAAACTGGTATCTCGTTGTTGGTGACTTGAGATTGCAAGAAAATAGCTGCAGTCACTAAATTTTGAGCGTTTTCTGACAGCAAAACTTGAAAATTTGATATAAGTGAGCTTTTTTTTAAAAAAAAAATCCGAGATAATCTCTGCACTCACAGCTCGCAGAAATATGTTTTAGACCATACGCGTTATTTTGTTTTCTACCCGTTTGTCACCCCGACCAGCCTTATTCCCACCTTGGCAGCTGGTGGGAATAAACCTTTATTATGGATTACTGCTGGAGTAGATTTTGTTGACATGGTTCGTGTGTCTAAAAACAGCTGGGCATTTACAAAAACGTCACCGAATTTACGTAAATGAGGAAATAACGAGAACGTTGTCAGTTGTTCCACAACTAGTCGCCAGCGTTCCCAGCCCAGTGAGGAGGTCTTAATGGAACAACTTCTAGTTTAGTTTACATAAATATAATAAAGGATTACCTTAATAACTAAAAACCCAACATTAGAAGTGTCAGCTGAACCGATACCTGTTGAAGTTTTTATAGACAGAATGCCCCAAACCCAACGTATTTCTACTGAAATGAATCATTTAGTTGTCTTCTGGAGGATTGCTCTTCCTCAAAGATCATCTTTACGGTGGCGCTTCGCCCCGCCCTGCTCGCGTGGACACTTTCTGGACAGTTTGGTGCAACATTTCCTCAGTAACTGAGGGATCATGCCATCATCCAGCAGAATATGGGAACGTCTTTGCAAGAGCGGTTAATGCCTGAGTCACCCGGCTCATTGGGGGATTTTTGTTTATTTATTTAGGGGCGTGGCTTGTCCTCCCACTTCCTGAGAGAACGCCGTGGTTACATGCAGGAGTATAGCTTTATTTACTTGAAGTTGTTTGTTTTCATAGTTTTTAAGTGAGCTGTGTTTCATGTCACCATGGTTACTTTAAAGTTACCGTGTGTGTGTGTGTGTGTGTGTGTGTGTGTGTGTGTGTGTGTGTGTGTGTGTG